CTGGCTGTTGCCGACTCCGGGCAGCTGCCAAAAGTCCCCGGTGAAGACAAGGCCTGGGAGCCGATCTGCGGCTTCCCACATCTGCGTCGAGCTGCGAGACCTCGTCCACCACCACAAGGTCGTACTGCGCAAGGGCGTCAAGGTGTTCATCTGCTCGGTCCTTCCACAGCCAAAACGCTGCCGCGCAAGTATCCACGTGTGCTGTCGGGTGGCGGCTTCTGACCCTGGCCGCTTGCTGTGCTAGCACGCGGCCGCCGCTCTCCAGGACCCGGTCAACGCAGCTGCCCACGACCGTGGTCTTGCCCGTGCCCGGCGGGCCGAGCCCGGCAATGGGTCTGGCCTCTTTCGCCGCGTCCAGCTCGTCGATGTTCTCGACCGCCCGCGCCTTGCGCTCTCGGCTGCGGCGAGGACGTTGTCTCGTAGGAGCCGCTGCTGCTGGTTGAAGCGGTTGAAGCTCTCGTCCGCAGCGGGGAAGCCGGCTTCCGCAAGGCTGCGGCGAGCTGCTGCCGCATCTCCTTGGAGGACGTGGCCCGCCAAGTACTGTCCCACAAGGTGGCACTCCGCCTTGAGCTTTGCAAGGAACGACCTGACCTTGGCGACGCCCATGGCCTCCAGCTCCAGCTCCTTGGTCACCACCTCCTCGTCAAGCCAGTGCTCCGGACAGCGGGCCAAGGCGTTGCCAAGGTGTTGGTACTGCTCGGGCACCTTCTCTGTCACCGCTGGGTCGACCAACCAAGTCGTCCAGGCTCCGGAAGGGCGAGCAAAGCGCCAGCCATTGTCCGAAGTAGCGGTCGTTGAACACCGAGACCATCTCCACTGCGATCAGCTTCTCCCCCTCCATCTCGCAGTTGTTGGCGAAGGCCTCTAGGCTCTCAGCGCTGCCTTGCTTGTTGCGCTTGTTCCGAATCCACCGCGCGATCTCGCCCTTCTTGTTGGTTTTTCGGGCAAACTCCAGCAGGCTCATGTCCTTGCGGCGCCAGGCGCTCTCCTGGCAGAGCTGGACGATCTTTGGCACCGCCTCCGTCTTCATGCCCGGCCACGGCGCGCGCAGCTCCTCCATGGCTCCGCTGTAGCGGCAGGGCGGGAAGGTCTTGGCCGCCAATTAGAGCCACATCTCTGGCTCGCAGGGCTTGTAGTCAAAGAGCACCCTTCAGGCCACGGAGAAGGCTGAGGCCTCGTCTGCCAGCCACTCCTTCTGGAAGTTTGGCGTGTAGGTCGCGCAGTACTTCAGCAGCGGGCCGCGGTCGTTGCCCAGCAGCGCGTCCTGGTGGCACTTCGTGACCTCCAAGGTGTCGGGGAAATAGGCTCTGTGTCCGGCCGCGGCGTCTTCCGCTGTGTGCTTTAGCCGCAGGAGCTGCGCCGCGTCGTCCCAGCGGGACTGGATGGGCCAACCCGTCGCCGCACCTTCCCGCCGCGGCCTTCCAAGCACGTAGCCCCGCAGCGCCGCCTCCTCCTCGCTCGGCTCCGTGGCCCGGATCTTCTCCTCCAACTTGGCGCGCTTCGGCTTCCGCAAGTAGTTCAGACTGTGGCAGTGGACGCGCCCGCTGCCGTGGTAGGCCTGGCTCGCCGCCTTGCGCTTGCCGTCCTGGTATTCCAGCCGGAAGAAGTAGGCTTGGCTGGTCTCGGGGCCATTGTCGGTCGGGCCGAAACGACCACATTGAGGACCAGCCGGAGGGGAATGCTCTTGCACGCGTTCTTGCCCCCCCCGATGCGGCTCCAAGACTGAGGTCGTACACGAACTGGAGCAGCTCCGTGTAGCCGGCGATCGGGCCCAGGACCTTCTTCATAAAGGACTTCTTGATGCTCTGTCGGCCGCTGTCCTTGCCTTCTTCCTCGTCCGAGCCGCTTTCCTCCGTGGCGGGGCGCCGGCGCTCCGGCCGCGGCCCTCCGACCTCCTGGGCTGGGTCGGCCGCTGCGGCGTCGCTGCCGTCGGACATCGCTGGCGCGGATGGCGGTTTCGCACATCGCCTCGGCCCAGTATAGGTTGGGCCACAGCGCGTTCTCCAGCCCCGGCGTCTCCAGGAACTGCAAGGGCCGCTTTTTTCGTTGCTCCGGCGAAGCAAGCTCGGCTGTTTAACTTGCCCTAGGCAGTACTGCCCTTACTCTAGAAAGGTATACACCCTAAATCCTACACTTTTTGGTTGCGCTGGCGGCCCCTTCATGGCATGCGACTACAAGTGGCCGGCCTTGGCTTGGGAAGCCACTTTCTGTCCCGGGGCACCCTTGCTATCCGCTCTTAAAAGCCGATTTCTGTCCCGGGCCCTTTTCCAGAAAGCCTTTTCGCGTTTGCTGGCTGAATATAATTGCAGGTTAATTTCTGTGCCCAAAGCTATTCTATCCCCTGCCGGTCCTTCAGTGCGCTGGCGTGAAGTGTTCTGGATCTAGGAGGCCGCCGAGCAAGTAGTCCGCGTCGCGCTGCACCCGGCTCAAGGCAACGTAGCCGCCAGCTTTGAAGTGCTTCATGTCCAGCCAGATCGTGACGTGGGTCAACTCAGCTCCTTGCAGCTTGTGGATGGTGCTCGCGTATCCCGGCCGCGCCGGGTAGCACGTGACGCGGCCGCCGTCTTCCGCGTCTTCGGTCAAGGGAAACAAGGCGAGGTCCTTGCCCGTGGCTGTGGTCACGCGCAGGCAGCCGGAAGCCGGATCCAGGCTGCGGACTGTGGCCTCCATGCCGTTGACAAAGTCCATGTTCCGCGTCAGGTGGAGACGCATCCCCGCGTAGATCTTCTGCTGCAATGGCTGCGGCGCGCCCACCTTTCGTTTGCCGCTCTCGTTGTAATTGGCAGGGTTTGCTTCCCAGTCCACGTCCAGCGTGCCCAAGACCGGCTTGCGCATCTTTTCGCACAGCGCCTGCACGCACAGCTGGTTGAGGGTGGCCGCCTTGTGCCGCGTGCAGGTCGCGAATGTGGTGTGGGTGGCTGCGCATTCCTCCATAGTGGGGTTTCCCGCGTGAGTCCAGGCCTTGTGGCCGCGGCAGATGTCCTTTAGCTGGTCGGCTGTCGGCTTTGACGCGCGCAGCAGCTTGAGCTTCTTGCGGAGCTTCTCGTCCTTGCAGCGCCACATCTCGTGCAAGTCCACCTTGAATGTCATCCGCCACTTCGGGCTGTCGGTGGCCTGGCTGTTGCCGACTCCGGGCAGCTGCCAAAAGTCCCCGGTGAAGACAAGGCCTGGGAGCCGATCTGCGGCTTCCCACATCTGGATGATTCGCTCGAACTGCTCTGCGTCGAGCTGCGAGACCTCGTCCACCACCACAAGGTCGTACTGCGCAAGGGCGTCAAGGTGTTCATCTGCTCGGTCCTTCCACAGCCAAAACGCTGCCGCCCTGGCCGCTTGCTGTGCTGTGGGTAGCGCGTAGAGCACGCGGCCGCCGCTCTCCAGGACCCGGTCAACGCAGCTGCCCACGACCGTGGTCTTGCCCGTGCCCGGCGGGCCGAGCCCGGCAATGGGTCTGGCCTCTTTCGCCGCGGCCTCTCGGAGCTTGTCCAGCTCGTCGATGTTCTCGACCGCCCGCGCCTTGGCTGCGCGCTCGGCTGCGGCGAGGACGTTGTCTTGTAGGAGCCGCTGCTGCTGGTTGAAGCGGTTGAAGCTCTCGTCCGCAGCGGGGAAGCCGGCTTCCGCAAGGCTGCGGCGAGCTGCGGCCGCATCTGCTTGGCCGTTTTATCAAGCCAAGGCAGCCCGTAGACCATTTTATCGCCCGTAGACCATTTTATCTAAAAAAGACCAGGCGCGCCCCCCCTATAGAGGAAAGTGGTTTGCTCCTTTACATCTTCGTGAATCAAATTGAATTGTTCTTGGGCGTGGCCGTTTTAACAGCCAATGGCCTTTTTATCAAGCCAAGGCAGCCCGTAGACCATTTATCGCCCGTAGACAATTTTACCGCCCCCAATGGCCGTTTTATCAAGGCCAATGGCCGCTTTATCGAGCGAAGGCAGCCGGTAGACCATTTTATCGCCCGTAGACCATTTTATCGCCGTTTTATCAAGCCAAGGCAAGCCCGTAGACCATTTTATCAAGCCCGTCTTTGGAGACCAGGGCGCACCCCCCCTATAGAGGAAAGTGGTTTGCTCCTTTACATCTTCGTGAGTCGATTTGAATTGTTCTTGGGCGCCAAGCTGTGTTGGCGAACCCTAAACCCTAAACCCTAAAGTCTAGCCGAGCCCACCATTCCCCATGACTTGGGTGGGCGAGGCTGCCGAGCTCCGCGAGCGTCTCGAGTCCTTCGATAGCCCGTAGGTTAAGCTGCGGGCTTGCCGCCTTGCTAGGCTCCTAGTTAGCCTGGCCGACAGGCCTAAGCTTGGTATACGACAGTATACTAAAATTGAAACCCTAAACCCAAAGGTTTTTCCCTGCCAACTCCTCCTTAGCTAGAAATGGCCGGCCTTGATAAAACGGCCATTGGGTCTGATAAGCCGGCCATCGGCCTTGATGAAATGTCATAAAATGGCCATCGCGCCTGCCCTTGACGAAATGGGCTGCCCTTGATATTGATAAAACAGCCATGGGGCTGGCCTTGATAAAGCGGCCATTGGGCTGCCCTTGATACAGTTGCCGTCGGGGCTGGCCTTGATAAAATGGTCATTGACTGGCCTTGGCGAAAATCGAAGCCCGCTGCTGATAATCTTTGTATAGAAACTATTGGAAGACCTGCCCTGGCTGGACCAAGGCACTTCCCGGCAGACCCGCCCTTGATAAAGTAGCCGTTGAGACTGGCCTTTGATAAAATGGCCATCGGGGCTGGCCTTGATAAAATGGCCATTGCGGCTAGCCTTGAGGAAAACGGTGGCCGGCTTTTTTTAGGTCCACTGCTGATAATCCTTGTATAAAAAACTATTGGGGGACCTGCTCTGGCTGGATCAGAGCACTTCCCAGCGATCGCCCTTGATAAAGTGGCCATTGCGGCCTTGATGAAATGGCCATCGGGCTGGCCTTGATAAAGTGGCCATTGTAGCACTTGGGGCTGATGAAGGTGGAGGCCCGCCGCTGATATAAAACAAGGGGACCTGCTCTGGCTGGACCAGAACGCTTCGGGAGCCAACGATTTGAGGGTTTCGGGCGTCGTGGCAGCCACGCATCCCTCCCACCGGGGGGTCCAGCACCAGCTCCACCGCCTGGCCAGTCACAGTCGGGCGTGCGCCCCGCCCCCCGATTCGACCGCAAGCGGCGCCTCCTCCAGCACGCCCGCCGCGTGCGCGAACCGAGGCAGAAGGGGGTGGTGCCGCACCTGCGTCTGCAGCACGAAGTTCACCCCCAGCACAACCTGATGGCGGAGCAAAAACAGGGGCAAGCGTGCAAGCCTCACCCTTGCCTCGAGCAAGTCCCCCCGCGTTTCCGCGCTGGTCCAGTGCGGGAGGCCCAGCGCGCCCCCAAGGTCCAGCGCGGCCCACACCTCGGAGTACACGGAGTTCATGGGGTCCGTGTAGCGGACCCCGCCCCGCGAGTGCCACATCAGGCGATCCTTGCGCGCACACACACGCACATGTTTTGTGGACCGCCCCCCCTATCCTCCCGCCAGCCTCGCGCGCGTCCGGAAGCGGCCCCCAGCTGACACGGACCGCTCCAAGGTGGGATAGGGCCTGCGGGGTGGAGCAAGCAAAGTGTCGCGCAGCCGTCTCTCTCTCTCTCGCCTTGCGGCGCGCCCTTCCCAGCTCCAGCACCAAGTGGAAGGCAGGTAAGGCGTGGGCCAGTAGCTGGCGAACACGCCACCAGGCCACTTCTGGCGCACTACAGTCTCTTTCTAACAAGCTTTGCGCGGCCCCTGCCTCGGTGCGAAGATCTGAGTTCCCATGCACCTGCACCTCTGCCGGAAGAGGCGGCAGGCGTTTCCCCTCAAGAGCCTGACAGGAGCTGGCGCTTCGATAAGAGCCAGGCCCTGGCGGTCCCGCGCCTGCAGAACCAACGCTCGGGCGCGAGGGGTTTCGTCCATTGCCTGGGCGCGGTGCAATGCGTTTGCGGTTGATTGCGCGTAAGGCCGCAGCGTCAGACTCAAGAACTGGTGGTTTGAACAGGATATGATAGAGCCAAAGCTGCGTGAATCAAGCTCTCTCCAAGCTCTCTGCAAGTTCTCTCCAGGGCTTGATTGCGCAGTTTCAACGCGCATTTGCTTCACTGTTAGGTCCAACTTGCCGTGACTTGCGGGGTCTACCGCTGATCACTCTTACCTTTCATTTCTTCTTTTTGCTCAGCCATGTCCTTGATGGTTCGAAATAGTCGACAGTGTCTATGCATAAGTCTTATCGACTAGTTCTACTCAATGGTTCTGGAAACCCTCGCGATTGGTCGTTTCTAGATTGCCTCCGAAAGCTTCCCGGCGCCTCCGAAGAGTGTTTTTTATATGAAATTGTCAGACCGGGGGGGGGGGCCGGTCGCGATATCCGGGGGGGCCGGTCGCGATACACTTTGACCGGCCCCCCCCCGGGAGGGGGTCGGTCGTGACACGGATCGCGACCGGCCCCCTTTTCGTACATCGCGACCGACCCCTGGGGGGGGGGGGGCCGGTCAAAATATATCGCGACCGGCCCCCCCTCGGATCGTGACCGGCCCCCCCCCCAATGGCCGTTTTATCAAGGCCAGCCCCAACGGCCACTTTGTCGAGGCCAGTGGCCTTGCAAAGGCCCTCGCCAGACCACGCGTGGCTGCTGTCGATGAACCGCCCCGGACCATGTCAAGCTTCGAGCGGCCCTTTGTCGTTTGCTCTCCGCGAAACTCAAAACCGAAGCGTCTACAAGACGTCAGCCCCCAAGGCCGAACCAATTCTTCTTCGAGATCTTTGAGGCCCAGACGAGCTCCGCGCGCAACACGCGAGCCGCGAGCTGCGAACTGGCGGAAGACAAACGTCAAGAGCGGGCGCGAGGTCCGCGACGCAACTCCAAGATTGGGGGACGCCAGGGGGTTGATGACCCTAAACCCTAAATTGCTTGACATCCGGGTGGTCAAGGGGTGGGCAACCGGCTCCCGCCAGTTGAGGAGCGCGGAGTGAGTTGGGGTGTGTCTCACACCCAACAAAGCGCTCCCTCCCAGTCATCTACAAACCCTAAACCCTAAACCCTAAAGTCTAAGCCGAGCCCACCAACTCCATATGGGCGAGGCTGCCGGAGCGCCAGCGGAGCGCCAGTCGTCTTATCAGCTGAGGCGCTCCGGCCGCCGGCCGCACTGCGGCGTCGCTGCCGTCGGACATCGCTGGCGCGGATGGCGGTTTCGCACATCGCCTCGGCCCAGTATAGGTTGGGCCACAGCGCGTTCTCCAGCCCCGGCGTCTCCAGGAACTGCAAGGGCCGCTTCCTCCGTTGCTCCGGCGCGCCCTCGCCCTCCCTCTCCTAAAAACTTCTCATGCTCCTCCACGAAGTCGCTGTAGGCCGACTCCTCTGACGCCATAAGCCGGATCTTGTCCGGGACGGATTCCGTTGCCCAGGCCAGCCGGACCATGGCGCTGTGGACCCGGTAGCCGTAGGCCGCCCTCCGGTAAGGGCCCGCGTCATTGTCCAAGGGCCGGAGCGCCAGGATGCCTTCTTTGGAGAGCGTGCGGAGCGGCCGTGGAATATCTTCAAACTTGGGGATAGGGACCTTGCCGTTCTGACACGCCTTGCAGGCGCGCGGGGCGATCTCCGGCTTGGCCACTCTGCGGCAGTCGATGGGCTCTAGCCGCCGCGGCTGCAGCGAGCGGCAGTCCTTGCAGATGCCCCAAGAGCCGAACTTGGCCCAAAGCTCCACGAAGCGGCCCTGCTCCAAAAGGGCCGGCGCCGGGAGCCCCGCGTCGTTGTCCCCGCAATGTCCTTGGCGGGCGGCGCCTCGATGTCGTGGTCCTCAAAGAACTTCTTCTGGACCCGCTTGCGGTCGGCCTTGACCCGCTTCTTGTGCTTCTTGGCCTCTGCCGCGGTCAGCGGGCGCCAGGCGCGCTTCCGAGAGGCCAGCGCCGCGGCCCAGGACGTTGTCGGGCTCGAGCTTGCCTTTTTTGCCTGGCGGCGCGCTGCCTGTGGCTGCGTGTCCGCCGCTGCCTCCTTGTGGAGCCGCTCGTGGAAGCTGGCCGAGACCCGCAGCAGAGCCGAGTTGTAGACGTGGGGCTTCTCCTCGTAGACTGCGCGGAATTTCTTCAAGGCGCCCAGGATGGTGCTGCGGCCCTTCGCCTTCTTGCAAGCCTCCGCCATGAGCTTGTCGCTGCAGAAGACGCAAGTCTTGTTGCCCCTGATGTTCCTGTTGTAGCTGCCAGAAGTCCCCGGGCGCTGCTGGCTGTAGATGCACGGCCACTGTGCTCCGCGCCCCGCGCACCTGCGCTTGGGCGCGGCGCTTGGCTTCTTCTTGGCCGCCGTCTTCGGCTTCTTGTCGGCCTTCGTCGCCGGCGGCCGCTGCTCGATCTTCTCCAAGTTGGCCAAGGCCGCCTCCAGGGGGTCCTCCGCCCACGCTCGGCTGACAGCGCCAAAGGCCTCCGCCGTCTCGTGGAGCAATGGCGGCCGCTTTCCCCGCGCCCGGCGCCTCTGAGGTTTGCGCTTGTCGGAGTCCGCCGCCTCTTCCGGCTCCCGCTCCTCGCCGGCTGCTGCTACCGTCTCCGCCTCTTCCACCTCCGCGGCTAGGCCGCCCGCCCACCGGTCCCAAGTCATCCGGCCAACCGGGTGCTTGAGGCAGTCCAGCACCATAGCGCCGGGCGTCCGGCCCTTCTTTTGCAGAAGTTTCTTCACCCAGCCGCCAGCCACAGTCTTGTGCTCCGAAAGTGTCCGTCTCCTGGTCAAAGACCTCGCTCACCTCGGCGCGGCTGCGCGAGCCGCCCATCCGCTTGTAGATGCCGTAGACGAGGTCCCCGCGCCAAGCGTAGTAGCAGGCCATTGCTCAGCGGCAAGCTTTCGGAATTGGTCTTCGTGGGGTTTCTGATTTGATTCTTTGAAACGCGTCGGCGCGCGTAACAAGTTCTCAGCCAGCAGTCCATGTTTCAACACGTGTGGCTCAGACGAACTCTGCCCGGAACTTTTCCTGACTTCCGACCCCTTAGCCTTCTGACTCCCAACTTGCAATGCCTGACTTGGCGGGGCCTTCCAACCTTGACTGGGCGCCCCTTGCTCCCTCTTCCGTTTTTTCCGCTCGATCACATTTGCGTCGATGTTCTGAAGTGATCGACAGTGTCTTTGGATAAGTCTTATCGACCAGTTCAAACATATCAAAAACCATAGTGAAACCAAGTGTGAGACAGCCGGCTCGCTCACTTGACGCCTCCCAACAAACTCTTCTCCGGCCGCCCTGCGCGCCGAGGGACGCAACGGCCTCCGCTGCCGGCTGCGGTTGCCGCCGGGCGCCTTCTCCAGCCGCCCCGGCACAGGTCCTGTCAGGGGGCGGGCGAGCGACCGGCAAACGCAACTCCGTGTGACACATCAAGAAAGCTTTCAGCCACTTGTGTTTTTTCTAGCTTGCGGGGCGTGACCAAGCGGCGCGTGTGGGGCCGACCGAAAAGCCAAGAGTAAAAACTAGAAAACGTTGCTGCCTAGCATAGTTCGTAAGATTGTTCTCTACTCAATGGTTCTGGAAACCCTCGCGATTGGTCGTTTCTAGATTGCCTCCGAAAGCTTCCCGGCGCCTCCGAAGCGTGCATTTTATATGAAACTGTCAGACGGAGGGGGGGGGCCGGCCCCCTTTTCGTACATCAATATATCGCGACCGGCCCCCCCTCGGATCGTGACCGGCCCCCCCCCCAATGGCCGTTTTATCAAGGTTAGCCCTAATGGCCGCTTGGCTCCCGCTCTTCGACCCGGGCTTGTGCGCCTTGCCCCGTCCGCGCTCGCCTTCGCTCCCCGCTCGCCTCGCGCCGCCGGGGCTCGCGCTCCGCGCAAAGTTTTAAATAAAAACAAGAAACCCCGGCCCGAAGGTGTGCTGCTAACTCCGGGTGGATTGGGGTGGGCCAGCTAGCCCTAAGCCTCCATCCTCTGAGCACACCCTAAACCCTAAACCCTAAACCCTAAACTCAAGGCCGAGCGCCGTGCTGCAAGCGCTCGGCCGCAGCAGCTGCATTGGTGCTGGCGCAGAGCGAGTCCGGCATGGCGAGCGGAAGCGCCCCGACTTGCGTTCCTCTGCAACGAGCGCGGTTTGGAGCTGCCGCTCCCGCTGCCAGCGCCAGCTGGCCTTAGAAGGAGTAACCCCAAACCTTCAACGAAGCGCAGCGTCCTCCTTATGAACTTTATCAAGGCTCCTTGTACGAAGCTTTAGAAGAAGCTTTATGAGAAGCTTGAAAAGAAGCTTTATAAGGAGCTGTATAAGAAGCTTTAGAAGAGGCAGGCTTAAAGCGGCTGGCCGGTCTGATAAAGCGGCCACTCGCTTCGCCAGCTCTTTGTCAAAATTGCTCGACCTGGCCGTTGATAAACTGCTTGTACGGGACAATATGAAATCAGCCCGCTTCTGGTGGATAAAACGGCCATTGAGGCTGGCCAGCTGTTATAAAACGGCCATCGGCTTTGTTAAAATGGCCGGCCTTGATAAAGC